CACTCCAGTCTGGGTAACAAGAGCGAAACTCCGTCTCAAAAAAAAAAAAAAAGAAATGAGGATCTGATTAGACCAGTCCTAAAAAGCCATCTTACTGCCCCCTGAGGAACTAGGGCCACCACGGTAGAATACAAATCTTTAAATGATTCTCCCAAGCATTTACCCAAGGACTACGGACGCAGCCAAGGATCTGGCTGGAGAAAAACAGGGATTGGATGGACCCACCGAATAAAAAGCAGCGTGCCCCGAGCGGTAGGAGCTGAAACACTTCATGCGATGACAATTAAGCTTATGGAAAGGATAGGAAGGTACCCTATGGGCGAGAAGCTCAAGGCAGCAACCAGGAAACTAGGAAACAGTTGGCTCAGGTGCAGTACCAGCTGTGCTGAGGTCATCCAGGCAAAACCTCACTGAAGACATCTAATCTCAAGAAGGGACAAAGGGATCTCCAATAATCGGGAAGTCACTTCACACCTTGTTCTTGGCTAATACACAGCAGAAGGTGAGCTATGTTTTCCAAACTCCCCTTGTAATGAAACAGTTCTTGAATGTCTTCCCAGGAGAAACTGGGAAGGAGAGCACCTATCTACCGCAGCTCCAGTCCTACAGGTGGGCTAGTCCTCCCAACACTCCAACCCCCCTACCCCTCACAGAGCATAAACCTGATCAGGTGGCTGAACTGCTGGAAGCCAGAGTCCCCAGTGTCCGCACCCCCACAGGGGTAGGCGGCTTCCCCGGCTTTGGGCTGGGGTTCCAGGCCAGGTCCCCTGCCTCTTGCTCACGCCCTCTGCTCATGTTCACTGTGGCTCCAGGACCCGGGCAATGTTGCAGGAAGCAAGGGGCGCCTCTGCCTGATTTGCTGGGGTCGAACCTCCCTATGCCACCCCACCAGCAACATCTGGTCTGAGGTCCATCTTACACCAGCAACATCTGCTCCAAGCTCCATCTTGCTTGGAGCTCCTCGTTGCTCAGAGGTCTATCTGATCTGAGCTCCAACTGGTTTCAAACTCCAATTACTCCAAGCTCCATCTTGCTCTGAGCTCCATCTTACACCAGGAAACAACTTCTGCAAGCTCCATCTTACTTGGAGGTACTTCTTGCTCAAAGCTCTATCTCCTCCTAGCTCCATCTTGCTCAGAGCTGCAATCACTCTGATCTGTATCTTGCTTTAAGCACCCTCTACACAGACCTTAATTTTTCTCGGAGTTCTGATCATTCTGAGGTTCATCTTGCTCTGAGC